CCCACTGGGTGCCCCGCGAGCCCCACCCAGTTAGGACAGCCCAGACTGTCTTCAGATGTGGCGAATGTCCCCTGGGGGGCAGAATTGCTCCCAGTCGAGGGTCCCCCTGGGTGAGGGAATAACGGAAAATGAGCCTTTGTGAGTAAACTTAGGACAAGAACCTGGGAGAGCTGCAGGAGTCCGGGAGAGGGACGTGGCCTGGGGCGGTGTGTGTCGGTTCCAAGAGCAGTTCTCCGTGAAAAGCACCTGAGCTGCAGAGCGGCCGCGAGGATTTTCACATCGGGGCTGTTTTTGTACGGCTGTGCTCGTGTCAGTGCTGTTCAGGCTGCTAGTGTTTGCGGAGGAGAAACCCAAGGGAGAAGGGCAGTGGTGGGTGGTTGCCAGGCAGCCCTGCCCCAGCCCCTTGAGCTCCAGCAAATGTGACTGTCCCCAGGCAGGGCTCGTATCCACCGGAGATGGGGACCCCTCACAGCTTTGTGTCCTCCAGCCTCTAACTGGAGACACAGCATTTCCTGCTGTTAGGAAAGTGAGCGGAGACCCACGGAGCACCGACGGGACCTGGGCTTTGTCACCAGTGGCGTCACGTCGCAGCTGTGCTCGTCACTCCTCTGAAACTGCCGTAGACCCGCCTGCTTAGCGTGTTTGAGAGGCTCATTTGTCTTTTAATACTTTGAAACCTGGCTTTGTTTGCAATCGTGTGTATTTTAGGCACTTAAGACATATTTCTGGGAAGGGCTCAGAAGGTGTCACCGCGCTGCCAGCAGGGTCGCGCTGGCACACAGCAAGTGACAGCCCTGCTCTGGAACCTCATTGCCGTTCATGAGCGGGTCTCAGATGCCCGTCAGTGCACTGGAGCGTGTGGTTTGGAGACCCAGGTGGTCTCCAGGCAGCTTCTCTGCTGCATCCGGCGTTCTGGGGATTTCTGCTTCAGTCTGACTGTGTGTCAGCATGTCCCATTCCGATGACTTTGGATGATCTTTAGTGAAATAGATTCTTAAAAATTAAATCTCTCATAAAAATTGTGGTCTCGTCCATGAGCATTGAAGTGAACTTTAAACAGGAAGCTTTAAAGAAGCATTGTGTAATGTTAAGTTTTTTTAATCAGATGTCATCAACCAAGGAAAACCTTTTAAAAAAAAAAAAAGGTGTCGCTGTCCATGGGGAATAGCAGGAGGTGTGAGCCCAGCAGCCCCGGCTCCCCAGGCCGGGGTGTCAGGCTTGTGGTCGGAGCAGCTTCCCCTTGGAAGGGACCCTCGAGTTCATCTCATGTGAGTGCTGGGATCCCCTTTCCTGCCCTATCCGAGGGGGGCTGGGAGCCTCGAACGTGTGGATCACCGAGAGCTGCTTTATCCCGAAATGCTCTTGCAGCATCAGCGTCGTCTGGGAGCTGGGTGGAAACGCACAATCTGGGGCCCACCCAGACCTGGGTCGGAGCCTGCGTTTTGACAAGACCCGGAGGCGTCTTGCATGTTAAAGTTTGGAAGCAGCGGCCTGGTCTCTAAGCAGCTGTGGCAGTCGGAAGGTTAACTGTCCGAGAGCCAGGTGTGAGCTACTTGAGCCCAGGTACCGGGACTTTGTTAGTGTCCCATTGGGTGCGCGGCAAATGTTGACCCAAAATCAGCTCTCCTGGAGGAGTCACGGAGTGGTGCGGAGTGTGTGCCCGGAACTACCAGTGGCATGCTTTCAGAGTCCCATTTCGTTCTCAGGTTGTAGCCTTGTCAGTAACTCGGATCAGAGTATCTGTTACGTAATTTAAATTGTAGAAATTTTTCTTTGAAATAGAGGTGCTTTTTTGTCTAATTCCGAATTGCATTACAATTTGGTGATACAGATTTTACAGACACTCACTGAGTGCCTACTTCGTGCCAGCAGTGAACAAAACAGACCAAAGCAAAGCCCTGCCCTACTGAGCACCGAGAAGGTGACATTTGAGTACAGATGGGAGGACATGGGGGTGTTCCAGGCAGACGGAACAGCCGGTGCAAAGGCCTCAGGCTGGTGTGGCTGCGGTGCATTCAGCGAAGGAGCGAGGGGCCAGGTCCAACTGCAGGGCTGGCCTGAAGAGGAAAAGCGTGGTGAGCTGGGACAGGGGAGCTGTCATTTGGAAATCAGGCTCAAGGTGCTTTATTCAAAAAGGGTTTTGAGCTAATGGAAAAGATCTGCCTGGGTCTAGCCTGGTTCGTCTGGGAGCATTTTCCTACCACCTTCCTAGCGGTAGCAGAGGCAGCGTGTGGAGCTGGCCGGGCCTTTATTCTCGTGCACAGCCAGCTGGGTGACGCCCTGCGGATGAGCCTGAGTCACAGAGCGTTTGAGTCGAGCTGGGCAGGTCACGTGGAGCAAGCTAACTTCACCAAAAATAACCCCAAAACAGCATTTCTGGGAAGCACAAGAGAAGACAGCTTTCCATGTAAACAAAGGAACGAAGTACAGATAAAGGCTTGGTTGGAAAAAATGAATGTTTGGAAAACTAAGGAGAAATGCTGTGGGAAAAAATACCGAGGAAACCAAGTGTTTCTTTTCCAGCGGTTGTACTTTCAAAGCGTTTCCTTCATGTGTTTGTGTCACATGCAGCACATGTGTTTTCATGGGACCGCTCTTAAGTTTTCCCTTCCGTGCGGAGCCGCCGCTGCTCCCTGTTCCTCTGTCCTGGCCGGGAACTGCGCAGGGGACGGATCGGCAGTTGGGGAACTGCCGGTTCTCAGCCTGGCTGCGGATTAGAATCACCGGAGAGCTTCATGCACAAAACAAACAAACAAGCCCCACTTCCAGAAATTCTGATTTAATTCTGATACAAACTCTGATTTAATTGCGTGTGCGGGCCATTGTCTCTGTCCTCCTGGTCCCCGGGAGTTCCGGCCGGTCGGGGCTGAAGCTCCGTGTCAGCACAACTTTCCTCCCCTCGCAAGCCGCGTTCTCCGGGCCGCGCTCGGCCTTCTCCCTTCCTCCCCAGGTGTCGGAGGCTGGCTTTCTTTGTGGCTCTCCGGCGTGTTTTGGGGTGGGCAGGTGGCGTATGTGCCAGAAATGACTGACCACACGTTTCCGTCTGGCGCAGGTGGGTTTGCCGCCGGCCAGCAGAGTCGGAACCTCTGCGGTGGCCGTTGGGGCAGCTGTCTCCTTAGGACCAGGACTAAGGGTGTTACCAAAGTGGCCAAGACGGTGTGGAGGTTCATGCCTCAGGCCACATGGGGCGGGATGTGCTGTGGTCATGTGTATTATATGTTAATAGTTAAAATGTTAACCTCCTGAGTTGTTTCCCAAAGTAATATTTACTGTTTGGAACTAAAAATCTTCTCTCCATGTGAAATTTCTATCGTGTATTGGTTCTATTTTCTTGCTTAATGGGAAAGAACATTTCTGGGATACTCTTAACCGTTGGATGATAAAAGAAACTTTGCTAAATCTGAGGGAAACCACCCAGTTTAGTTAAATTACAAATATAAGTATTTCAGAAATTTAACTGTCTTGATAGCGTTCTGGTAATGTGATCCAAAGAATTGACTTGCTGGAGGAGTGCTGGATGGCTAGGATTTATTTTCCTGAGTTATGTAAACTTCCGAATTAAGGAGCCTTGTGTTGCTTTTCTTGGAAGGCGTCTGTTGAGTCTTAAGATCCGCTAGTCCGGCACACGGCGTGAGCAGCCCGGAGAGGCTCCTGACTGAGCTTGCTGTGGGCTTGGTGGTCTCCTGCAGCTCACGTCTGTCTGATGGCGTGCCAGCGGTCTCCGCCCCGTCCTCCCCTCCGCCTCTGCCCCACCTCCGCCCCCACGCCCTGCCTTCCTGGGCCGGCCCTTTCCCCAGGGCGCGGTGGGCTCTATACTTGGGAGTGGGCTTGCGGGATACTGGACCCGCTGCCACCTGCTCTCCAGGTAGTGAGATGATGATGAGCAGGGGCCGGAGAGGTCAGTCCGCGTCTTGAGGCGGAGGCTGCTTTGTCCCCCGTGTCTTTCCTGGTGGCGTACATGGCATTGTGTTTTGAAACCCAGGCCTGTTTGATAAACATCTTACCATTTGAAATGTTGAAATATATTAAATTGAAACTGTGTAGAAGTTAAAGCATTGGTAATTTTTATTCCTCTGACTCCTACAAGTCATATCTTTTGGTTGTAAAATTTTCAAATGCTGATAAGAGAGAAAAATGAAAGTTCCTGCAGTCGTCCTCACCTCGCCCAAGAAAGTCTCTTCCTCACCAGGGGCCGCCGTGGCTCCGAGCGCGCCAGGCCCGCCCCCTCCTGATCGCTCGCGCCCAGGCACGGGAGGGGGGCGGGCGATCTAACCGCGTCACGACGCGTCTTCTGTTCCTGCTGTGTCGAAGGCTCTCACGGGCAGCGGGCTCCTTGCCTGGGCTTTGGCAGAGCGTCACGATCTCTGTGGACGACCTGTGACGTGCCCAGTGGGGTCTCTGGCGCTCGGCACTGAAGCTGTTCTCAGGGTTTTCCTCTCGCAAACACCCTGCAGCGAGCATACCCCCCCCATCTCTTTCATGTGTGAGTATTTGTATGGTGATGAATTCCTAGAAATGGAATTATAATTTTAGAATCTGCTTTTCAGGCTGTACCCCAAATAGATTCATTGGTATTCTGTTCTTTACTGTTGTTTTTAGAGCGTTTTATTATTTCTTCAAGATTTATAGCAGGATAACGTGAAGTCCTGCTGTGTATTTAGTTTTATAGAGAACTGTTTGCTTTGAAAACTTACAAAAATAAAGTTTTGCCTCAAATAAAGGTCTATAATCCATGACAGCTTGGCTCACGTAGTTTCTGTCCAGTCTGGTGGAGCTCGGAGATGTCCGCGCCTGCGCCGAGCGAGTTACCCGCGCTGTTTCTAAATTTTCATGGAGTAGTAGGTAGGTGGCATTTTTGCCTTTCTTAGGAGGTGCTTATTCTAGTAATACATGTTGTATAGAAAATTTCGAAACCAAGGTAAATGCGACTCTTAAATAACAAAATCATTGTGTGTTAACTCAGTGAAAGAAAATAAGGCGTCACGTTTGTGTCCCCTCAGCTCTCTCCAAGAACCGAGACCCCCATCAGCAGCGTGGGCAACAGCCTGGAGAACGCTCTGCACACGTCCGCACATTCCACGGAGGAGTCACTGCCCAAGAGGCCTTTAGGGAAACACGGCAAAGGTGAGTCTCCGCCGGGTGTTCGTGAGGCTGTCCACAGGGGTAAGGGAGGAGATGCCCTAGGATGAGGGGTCCCCGTGATGGTGTTTGTTAGATGCTTCCAGATCTTTCATCAGTGCTAATACTGGGTATTTTTCTAAACTCTACCGTCAGTACATGGAAACATTTTGGCTGTAAAAATCTCAAATAGCGACGTTTATTAAGGGGAAGAAAATGAAGGTCATCACACCCTCCTTGCCACCTCCCCGCAAAACAGCCCTGAGTTCTGGAGCAGCACTGTCCTCGGAGCCCCTGCCTCCTCCCGCATGCGCCTTCCGCGCCCTTGGGGTGTGGCCAGTGCAGTGGAGAAGCTGGACTTCTTTTCGTATTTAATTTAACGTAGAGAGCGACTGCCCACGGGACAGTGTGGCTCTGCCGCGAGCAGGTGGCTGCTCAGGCTGGGATGGGTGGGGCCGCTCGGAGGAGGCGGAGACGTGGCCATCTGGCTCCGCACCGTCCTGGACGGTCCCGCAGTGGAATGTTTGGGAATCGAGCGCCTGTGTGGAGGTGCAGCAGACGGTAGGAGCGCAGAGGTCTCTGTAGGGCCGGATGTGGAGCAGCAGCCCGTGGGCTCATGGGGTCGTGTGTCCAGGCCCCGTGGCCCTTTGTCCTCCCCCGTCCTTGTTGACAGGTGTGGGGGCTCCTCTTCTGGAACCAGGGGCGGCGTGCGGTCCGGAGTCTGCTCCGTGCCCTTCCCTGTTCTCTGCGTCGGGCACAGTGCTTTGCGCCTCATAGGTGCTTCATGACAAGTTCGTTTTTAAAGTGACGCCCCGTTCTGAGAACGTCATCGCGAGCCGCTTGTCTCTGGCTCGGGTCACACTCGGGAGCTGTCTGTTTCCTCGGTGGCCCCTGTGCTCGTGGAGCTGCGCCCGGCCTCGGGACAGCCCCTGAGGGCTGTTGCCACCGTTGGACCTCGTAGCCGTCCTCTGCGGTCTCAGTGATCCTCGTGCGTTCCTCTCCGTGGAGACCGTGTGTCCAGGCTGTGTGTCTTGACTGCCTGGTCTGACCCCGCCGTGGACGGCTCGCACCTGAATCACAGGGACTCCCTCCGCCCTGAGAGCTGCGCTTCTCCTGCCTTCTCCGTGGCTCCGGAGCAGGTGCGCCCCATGAGTGTCGCTTGCCTCTCCCCGATAGTCCAGCCTGGGAACTTGCCCCTGATCTCCTTAGGGCTCTTGTTCACCAGGGCGCTTTTTCCTCGAGGCACGATTACTGAGATTCCCCATTCATTTTGTTATGTTTGTAATTTTAAAACACAGGGCTGCGATCCGTCATTGTCTTGTCTGTGTGCTTTGGTACCCGGAGCTGTGGCAAAACCCACGTAGGAAGTCAGATGCAAGGCTGTGGTTGTCCATTCTCAGAATACCACAGGACCCGAAATAACGTAGTGAGCAAGCACTGCTAGTTACCTACAGCAGTGGTCCCCAGCCTTTTTGGTACCAGGGACGGGTTTCATGAAAGACAGTTTTTCCATGGACAGGGTTGGGGAGATGATTTTGGGATGATTCAGGTGCATTACATTTATTGTGCAGTCAGACCGCTCTGCTACTGATAATCTGTGTTTGCAGCTGCTCCCCAGTGCTAGCGTCACCGCCTCCGCTCCACCTCAGATTGTCAGGCATTAGGTTCTCACGAGGAGCCGCAACCTAGATCCCTCCGTGCGCAGTTTGCAGTGGGGTCCCTGCTCCCGTGAGAGTCTAATGCCGCTGCTGATCAGACAGGAGGCGGAGCTCAGGCGGTGATGCGAGCGATGGGGAGCGGCTGTAAATGCAGATGGCGCTTGGTCCCTTGCCCGCCTCTGACCTCCTGCTGTGTGACCGGTTCCTAACACTGGTCGGTGGCCCCGGGCTCAGGACCGCAGTTGTACAGCATTTTCCGTTCATTGGTCTCAGAGAGTAAGGTTCTTTTGTGCAGAAATTGTCAAGCAAGTTAACTTGCTTTTATTAGTTGCATTTCTCATTAATCCTTTTAACTTTCTGTTGGGCTTATTGCCGGCTTATTGCACTTCTGAATGTCTGAAGTCGCTCCAGGTGTGTAGTTTGATCACTATAAAGTTCTCTCCCGTCTCTGTGCACCACGCTTCTGTTTTGGTGTTTCTCTTCTTCGGAAGTCTTACGGCGTCACAGTTTAACTTACAGAGGGGTCAGACTTTTGCGGTTTTCACGTCCGGGCACGTTCGGGGAGCAGCAGCAAGGGCCGTCTCCGGGCCTGCTCCAGCCAGGCAGCTCACGACAGACGCTGACCTGCAAAATCCTCCTCTGACGCTGGGAGGGCCTGGGCACACCTGCTTCATTGTAACAGTGGTCCCATGAGGTCCTGACCCCATCTCACAGAAGGGACAAACGAGTCACAGAGAAGTGACATTCCGAAGGTAAGCTGGGGTTCAAACCCAGAGCTGATGCTTTTAACCAGCACATCAGACTGAAGAGAGCAGCAAAGGGAAGCGAAGGACGCGGTGCGTAAAAGCTCACGTTAAAGAGTGAAAACAGCCGTTTTTCCGTACTACTGATTGTGAAATTTTCAAGTGTGGGAGTGGAGGTGACAGTACAGTGAACCCACATGCCTTAGCAGCGGTGCCATGTGTGGCTCCCGTGTCCTTGTGTTACTAGTGAATGTAGCCAAGGACTGGGTTGCAGACTCTGAGAGCGCAGGCGTTGTTCCCAAATCTACTCACTTGGGTTTATTTTTACTGGAATTTAGGGAAACAGTTATTGTGACGTATAAATTGAGGTGGAAGTTACTTTTTCTTTTTCTTTTTTTTTTTTTTTTCTGAGACAAAGTCTCTTGCTGTCCCCCAGGCTAGAGTGCAGTGGCATCATCGTAGCTCACTGCAACCTCAGACTCTTGGGCTCAGGTGATCCTCCTGCCTCAGCCTCCCGAGTAGCTGGGACTACAGGCGTGCACCACGACACTGGGCTAATTTTTTTACATTTTTAGTTGCTAAGCTAATTTCTTTCTATTTTTAGTAGAGACGGGGTCTCGCTCCTGCTGAGGCTGGTCTCGAACTCCTGAGTTCAAACAATCCTCCTGCCTCAGCCTCCCAGAGTGCTGGGATTACAGGTGTGAGCCACCACACCTGGCCAGAAATTACTTTTACAAATAATATTCTCAAAGAAATTCTATAATTTTGTTCTTCGGACTTTGAGTAATCATAATTTTTTTCAGTTATCTTTTTGTGAGACAGTGAAGGAGGTGTAGTTTCATCAAACTTAATTAAGTTTAGTCACCAGCAGTTCTAAAACTTTATAGTCTCAAGACTTCTTTGTACTCTTAAAATTACAGATTCAAAAGAATCCATGTTCGTGTGGGTTATGTCTATAGATATTTACCATATTTGTAATTAAATATAAATATAATTTATAATTAAAACTGAGAGTTTTTATTCTACTTAAATAAATGCTTATTATTTATTGTATGCTACTGAGGTTTTTGTGTTTGTTGTGCATTTCATGGACTTTCAAATGTGCATTAAAGTTCATTCAGAAGCTTGAGGTGCTCTGTGGACATGCAGGTCTGCGAGTCCAGCTGAGCCTTGCCAACCCCCTGGTAATGGATGGGTCAGTCTGCCTGGGTGTCCTGTCACCAGCCCTGAAACGTGTTCCCGGCATTTGTGATCCATCCCACACTGGGCTCAGCAGGCCCTGGGAGTCCCCAGGGGTCTGGCCCTGCAGGGCGCTCGCGCTTTCTTCTTCCCCTCCCAGCCTCTGTCCTGCCCGCAGTCTGTCCATCCCTTCCGTCCCCGGCCTCGCTCCTCCCCGGCTGGTCCTCAGATGGGGACCAGTCCAGTGTGTGTTGAACCACTGCAGCTCCCCACAAAGCTTGTCAGCATGGACCGGTGAGAATAGCTGAGGCCGCAGAGCGCTTGCTGCACCCCTGGACTGTCCGTGCAGCAGGGACCGCTGTCCTTTGTTCAGGTGAGGTCGTGGGGCTCAGTGGGATCACATGACTGCGCTCAAGATCATGAGCTCGAAGGTGTCACATTTCAAACCTGGACGTCTGCACGCAGAGCCCCTGGGTTAACTGGGACCAGCAAGAGAGGCCTGACTCTTTCCAGCGTGGCCTCTCCTGCCTCCCAGGCCTCGTCTCCTGACACTCACCTGCCCAGGTACCTGGCTGGGGACAAGCGCGCCGTCCACCTCCTGGGCCCTGACCGCCAGGTCCCTTTGAAGTCTGGCACAGCTTTACTTGTTTGACCCTTTTAATTTTTACATCACTCCTGGCGGGCACTGCGCCTGGTACGTGGCAATGCTGAGTGAAGTATTTACCTTCATACACAAGTGACGTTCCTGAGGCCACTAAATTTCTTTATTTTTTTCTTTATCTTGATCCCCTCCACCGTGGGAGGCCCCTGAGTTTAAGTGCCTTATCGCTAATCAGCCAAAATGGAAAATGTGTTCATTTCCTGTTTTTGCTACTTCAGAAATATCTTTTATCAGTTTTATGTTTTCCAGATTGTGCTACTTTTGTTTCTCTCTCTTTCTGGAGAACAAGTCGAATGAATACAATGTAGCTAGATGATAAGGAATCGAAGAAAAGTAAATGACAGAGTTCTTTAGTATAACATGATGCGTCCTGAAAAGGCGGGGAGGAGGGAGCTGTCTGATCAGTGTAACGCAGTGTTCAGATTACGGCAGCAGCTGGAAGAAGCAATGCTTCTACACACCGTCCCTGTTAGCACAGACAACTAAATGAAAGCGAGAGAGTAGGTTGATACTTTAGGGACGTTATTATTCAACCGAGACTTTCCAGAATGCAGGTTTTCAATTTTTCAGTGAGGGTGGCTTTTGGTAATGAGACTTTACAGCAGGCAGAGCTGGAATGTGATTCTGGTACAGTTTCTGTGTCCTGGCGTGGAGACTGAGTTGTGCTGCGTAGGACTTAGGAGAAAAGCGGTGTCTCTGCTAGATGGTGAGTCTGTTCTTTTTTAAATGTCTTCCCTCTGTCACAAATAACATCTGTCCCCTTTA